TCACAGAGGTCAATCTACCTCTACCCCTTGAAGTCACAGAGGTCAATATGCCTCTACCTTCCGGGCATTGGGATTAAAGGTGTGTACCACCACACATAACTACTCTCTTTTTACTTTAAGAACTTTAACTTTTATCCTGCATTTATTTGTAACACACTATAAACCATTTAGAGGTTTTCTTCGTCTTTGACTCTCTTTTTACTGTATATCTCTTTTTCTGACCACATGAGTCTAAAACCGTGGCTTTGATGGCTAGACCCAGTCCATTTCTTAGCTTTCCAGACTCATGGTAGAGGTACCAGCCAGAGCTGTGTTCACTGCCACAACTCTATGGCGTTTCAAGGTCCTTGTCAGCAAGCATGCTGCAACTTCTGCTCACAGACCACACTCAAGTGCTTCAGGCTGCCTGCCTGAAAGAGTCAGAGTCTGCCTTGGCAGGACAGCCCAGAAAGCCAGCATTTTAAAACAGCACAGCTTTCTTCCTGCTACGGCTAAAACCAAAAAGCATGTGTTCAGCCCTTCACCAACAGCATTTAAGTGTTTTGTGGCAGGACCTCTCAATGAACTGTAGGGTTTTGCAGCTAAAGCTGAGTCAGGAAGCCTCTCTTAGATGAGAGCATTTGCTTGCTACTAGCAAGCAGAGCAGACCTGAGAAATTGTTGCTACCAACAAAACATGCTTTAGTCTATTCTTTCCCAAGCTTTCTCAAGCTTTCGGTGGATTCAGTTATCCACGTTTGGGCGCCATCTGTAGAAAGGAGCTGTGGGCAGGCCTGCTTTTCGCCTCACCCGGCTCCCGCACGGCTAGCTTAGTCCCAGAAATAACAACATACAAATTGTATTCATTTAAGCACTGCCTGGCCCATTATCTCTAGAGAGTTAGTTACTGACTAACTCTCATATCTTGATATTAACCCATTTCTAATAATCTGTATCACACCATGAGGTGTGGCTTACCGGGAAAGATTCAGTATGTCTGACCTGGTGGCTGGCTCCATGGCTTCTGGCTCATAGCCCTCTTCCCAGCATTTTGTTCTGTTTACTCCGCCTACCTAATTTTCTGTCCTATCAAGGGGCCAAGGCAGTCTCTTTATTGACCAATGAAAATAACACAATAGACAGATAACCCTCCTCCATCATGTGAACCCCGCAACCAGTACCAAGCATGCATTCCCTCCAGTGGAGTGGACCTTAAATCCAGTCAGAAAGTAGTGCGCAGCCAAGAGCAGTGACAAGAGCCTGGATTATTTTGGAGATCTCTGGGACCCCTCTGACCAATGTTAGGGGAGGGTGTCCCACACCTGACACTGGCCTTCTGGGATGACATAATCCCCTGTGTGGACTGCCTCAACAAGCTAGTGTGTGTGTGTGTGTGTGTGTGTGTTTAGGAAGTTTATAAAATAGTAGGTTTCCACATGGCTCTTTCAAAGATCCTTAATATTAATTATCCCTACAAACCCCTCCTTTGATTATGGGCACTTAAAAAGATATTTTCAATAAGTATTATATATAAATTATACTAAAAGATTTTATCCTAACAGTTACTCAGTAGATTGACATTAAAAATGGGCTCTGACGCTGGAGAGATGGCTCAGCAGTTAAGAGCACTGCTGTTTTTCCGGAAGCCCTAGGTTTGATTTCCAGCACCCACACAGTGGCCCAAAACCATATGTAGCTCCAGTCCTGTTGTGGAATATTTGAGCAAACTATGTAAAGATGTGTTGCTGTCTTGCGGTGCTGCTTAAGGCACCTGATTGGTTTAATAAAGAGCTGAATGGCCAATAGCCAGGCAGGAGGAAATAGGTGGGACTTCCAGGAAGAGAGAGGAACTCAAGGTTAGAATCTAGATGTGCAGAACATAGAAACAGGTGAATTTAAGAGCTAGTTGGGAACAAACCTAAACTAAAGACCACACTTTCATAATAATGAGTCTCTGTGTCATTATTCGGAGGCTCATGGTCCAAAGAAAGTCCAACAAGAAAGACCTGCTACACAGTTCTAGAGCTATAATTCCCTCTTCTGGCCCCCGTGGACACCAGGCATACTTGTGATGCACAGACATACATGTAGGCAAAACACCCATATGCATAAAATAAAAATAATAAAACTTAGTTTTAAAAGTAGAATTTCCTCAGACCCACATGGAGACAGCACTGTAACGTGACTAGAAGAAGCAGTGGCAGTGACGAGCACATGTTCCTGTGTGTCTATGGGAAAGAAAACTTTAGCTGCAGATAAGGCTGTGGGAAATGTTACTTGACGTTCTATGTCTTAGAAAATTCCCTGTATTAGCCACACATGACTTTAATCCCAGCACTGTGGAGGCAGAGGCAGGCGGATCTCTGAATTCAAGGCCAGCCTGGTCCACACAGAGAAACCCTGTCTCAAAGCAACAGCAACATCAAATCCCTGTACTTACATGTTTTCTCCTGGGTCGGCTGCAGCCTTCCTGAGTGAGGCAGTGCTCTGGGCAGAAATCAGTCCCAGAGATAGGAATGGCTGTACACGGGGTGGCGATGTGAGAGTCTGAGGGCCTCTGTCTGCTGCAGCCGGGGGACAGCCTGGTTGTGTCTACTGGGTTTATTTGGAAGGTCACACATCTGACCTCAGAAGCTCCCTACAGCAATCAGTTCTCAGCTGTGCTTGTTTTCGCTGATGGACTCTTAGTCCTCTGGTAATAACTATTGGGTGGTGTGCTTGTTATACACTGGAATTTGTGGTTTTACAAGCTTCCAGAACAAATGTGGTATGTAATTTGTTCAGTGTTTCTACACTCACTGGAAAAAGTGGCAAATCTGTTTGAACTGGACTGTACTTTTAAAAAAAATGTGTCATTGAGAAGGAAGGGGTTAGTTTTGTTTTGTTTTATTTAAGAGCCAGGATACTCTGAATATAATGAGACTATTAAGTTGGTGGCTTTGAGTTCAAGGAAGAATACAGTTTGTCATACTGGGACTGTAAATCATGACCCTTGGCAAGAACAAAGCTGACTCTTCATCCTGTTGTGTCTGGACCATTACCAGGGCCTGTGCAGGATTTTGCCATCTGTCCTGAAATCCCAGAGAGTGCTAGTGTGAGCCACTTAATCTTACTCTGGTTTTGTTGTTTTGTTTGTTATTTTTAATAGAAGGGACTTTTATAAGAATGGCTAATGTGGGGCTGGGGTGACGGCTCAGCAGCCAAGATACTCTTCCAGGGGTCTGGGTTCAGTTCCCAGCATCAGCTGGCCTGCAGCCTCCTTTAATCCTGTAACTCCAGCTCCAAGGGACCCGATACCTCTTCTTGCCTCTTCAGCACACACACACACACACACACATACTTTTTAAAAATGACTAAATGTGATGAGAAGGAAAAAGAATTTTTGTGCTTTAAAAAGTCTGTTTTGTACCTAATAAACAAATCAAAATTTTTGTAAAAAATGAGAACCCCAAAATATGCCCACACTTGAGAAAAATGATTCTGAGCATTCAGACTAGCTTGCACTTTGGTATTTTGGCAGTTCTAAGAATTTCTAAGTGTGGAGACAGTTTATAATTGGCTCAGATTAAAGACAAATCACTTCAGAAAGGGCCTGTAATTGCCTTTCTCAGTTACTCATGGCACTGACTGATACCTTCTTTGGGGGAGATACTAGAGGTCAAACCAAGGACCCCCACATGCTAAGAATGTACTCTATGACTGAGCTACACCCTTACCCTTTGGGACTGTTTTAAGTTAAATTCCTGTCTAAAAGATTTTGAAATTTATTTTGTGGTTTTGTTTTTGGCCTTGCTGACAGTATGAACTCAAGTTCCAGAGCTGTGTTAGAATCTTAACTCTTTCCCTTTTAATCACATATGTGTGTTTATGTGTGCATGTGTATGTGCATTCGTGTGTGTGTGTGTGTGTGTGTGTGTGTGTGTGGCCACATGCCACAGCTTGTTTGTGGAGGTCAGAGGGCTTCTGGCTGTCACACCTTGCCTTTTACCTTGAGACAGGGTCTCTTTGTGGGCTACCTACGCTGAACTAGCTGGCCTGCCACTTGCAGAGACTCCCCTATTTCCACCCCTGTCCTGCTGGAGTGCTGGGGTCACAGGCACTAAGCAGTCAGCTTTTTGTGGGTCCTGCCTACTCAGACTCGGATTCTCCTGCTTGCGTATCAAGCAGTTACTGCTGACTCATCTCCCCGGCCCCGGAGCATCAGTGTTTATATAAAAAATCTACCATCTGGTTTCCAAGCTTCCTTTGTATCATTTATTTTTTATTTTTGAAAAATAAATATTTATTACTGTTGTGTGTGGGATGGGGGTTACTCATGCCACACGATGCAAGTGGAGGTCAGAGGGTAGCTTTATAGTGTCGGCTTTCTCCTTCCACCCTTGTGGATTCTGGGGAGCGAACTCAGGTCCTTTAGCTGGAGCTTTCACCCAGTGCGCCATCTCACCCACCCTGTGCCAACTTCTGGTGGTTTCTTTTTCCTTTACTTTTCTTCGAATCTTTAGTCTTTATGCTCTTTTAGCTATTTTGTGTTTGGAATATTTGTTTCTTGTGGTGCACACTTGTGTTTTATAATAGAACAGAAGCTATATTTTGTCCGTCAGACTCTTGCTTAGGCCCTGATCATCTCTTTCAGCAATTGTTCCTGCTCAGTTCAGACACTTCCAATAAACCCCAGGTTGTGGGAGGCATTTCTTTGTCAATTCCTCTTTGGTGATCTTCAACTTTATTCTGCGTAAGACTCGATTGAGGAGTTAATTAAAGGTAAATATTTCTGTTTCTATGGACCTGGTCAGGTCTAGAAGGCATCCTTTATCAAGTAACTGAAGGATACACTTAGAGATGTCTGGGCTCTAAACGAACTCATTTATACATCAATGACTTTCAAATGTTTATTCTACTCAGACCATTCTTAAGTGCTGAACCACCTAAACAGCAGACATACATCGACAAAATGTCGACATAGTGTTTGTCAGCATAAACCAACACTTTTTAAAAATTTATATTTTTATTGTGTTTGTATAGGTATTTTGCTGGCATGTATGTCAGAAGAGGGCGTCAGCTCCTAGAGCTGTGGGTGGTTCCTGGCCGAGTCAGGTGGGTGCTCAAGTGAACCTGGATCCCCTGCAGAAGCAGCCAGCCCTCTGCCACAGAGCAGCTCCTCCGCTCTAGGCCGCCCACACTCTCTCTCTGCCGTCTAGCAGCTGCCTGACCTTGGGCATGGCTGTCTCAGTTGCTGCACACCTGCTAGAAATGAGCTCAGGATCACAGAGAAAGAGACCATTCCAGCTGAGTGTCTGGACAGGCAGACTTTACTTCTGATGGAGAGGGTGCTCCGAAAGAGCCGGCACAGACTGAGGCAGGAAGTGCATTTAGTTTTTAGTGAGGTGGTGGCAATACTTTTCCCATTGATTGGGGTTCAACCTCACAGTCTTATTCTACTGTGTAGTCTGAAAAGAACTGGAGCACAGAAAACGAAGGAAAGGAAAAGGGCTCGCTGCCCCAAGGAGAAAGGGGTCACTGTTCCTGGCCATCACAGTCCTAGAAAGGAGCAATAGGGGGTGGGGATTAAAATATCTGCATAAAGGGGAGATAAAGATTTTATTCCCTGTCTTGAATGTAAGTTTCATAGTATTTGATAGAAAAGAGTTATATTTGATACTGCTTTTTTATTTAGTAATTTTTACTTCTTGATGCTCTTTGCTCTTTGTACATTTTTTTTCTTTTAATGATTTTATAGACTTCAGCCGGGTAGTGGTGGCATGCACCTCCAATCCCAGCGCTCAGAAGGCAGAGACAGACAGATCTCTGGTCTAGTATTAGTTTGACGTAAGCAGGCCAATTTGACTGGGTATACCGTTGACTCATCCCCGTGCTCCCCACTCTTTTATTTTGACTGTTAGTTTAGCTCATCAGTGAGACTAGCAGCCCTCATGCTGTGTGAACAGAGAATATTCTTCACAGATATTAAAGGATCTCTTGTTCTCAGTTTGATTCCTTCAGGTACCATTTTCCTGCCCTACCCCCACATCGGATGAATGTGTTTTGATCTTCCTTCACCTCTGCGTTTTCGTTGTTTAGTGTTCTGAGCGCGATGCTTTTTGTCTCCAAAATCTACCACTCTGAACTTTAAAAAGCTTGCTGTAATGAATGTGAGTGCAGCCGGTACTGGTTCTTCAGTGGCCAGTGGGGACCTCAGCGACCTGCTCTTTACCCTCTTCTTGGGGATCTGATTGCTCACCGAATGAAAACCTCTGGGTGCAGTCACTGGATCCTCCTTTAGGTCAGTTTCTGCACAGCTGCTCCACCTGATACCCTAGTGTCTCTTTTCTTAGAGATACTCTGATTTCCTTTTTAAATGAAAGGAGGTAGGAGGGAGAAAAAAAAAAAAACAAAGGAAAAGAAACTTGCCATCTTCCCTGGATGAAGGATGAAGGAGATGGGGCTGGGGAGTGAGTGGGGGCAGCAGGTAATCACTTCTGAGTCTCACTGCTTCCCTAGCCTCCAGGCTTCTGCTGCCTAAAGAGGTGTGGCTGCTTCCCATGCCTTTGGGCTTCTGAGGGCCGAAGTTAAGTCATTCTGCTTATCTGGGCCAGGAGTCTTTTCTTTGCCGTTTACTCGCCTGCCTGCTCTTTTCCAGAGAGTGGTAGTTACTCACCTGAGTTCTTTGCATGCCTTTATTTTTCTTTGAAAATGGCTTTAATCTTGTTTTAGTGGGTTACAAGAGACAAAAGTCACTGACTGTGTTGAGTCTGCTGTAGATTTTTCTTTACCTGTGAGGCATGCGCAAGGCCCTGGCTCTAATGCAGAAAATAAAAAAATGAGATAGAAATTCCAAGATTCATTGTGATGCATACCTGCAATCCCTGCTCTCCGGAGGCCAAGGAGGGAGGCTCATAAGTTCATGACCAGAGTGGTCTATGAGCAAGACTGTCTTAGGGTTTCTGTTGCTGAGAAGAAATACCATGGCAACAGCAACTCTTATAAAGGAAAACATCTAATTGGGTGGCTTATAGTGCAGAGGTTCAGTCCTGTTATCATGAGAGGACATGGCAGTGCACAGGCAGACATGCTGGAGAAGGAGCCGAGATTCCTTCCTACGTTTTGATCTGTGGGCAGTAGGAAGTGAATTGAACTAGGCATAGCTTGATCATAGGAGACCTCAAAGACCGCCCCCACAGTGACACACTTCCTCCAACATGACCACACCAGCAAGGCCACAACTCCTAATACTGCCACTCCCTATAAGCTTATGGGGGCCAGTTACATTCAAACTACCACAATAGCCGTTTTTCATTCTGTTATTGCTGAGTTTAATCTAGTTGAAATTTTGATAATTAAGTTTGTAAAGATAAAACTTTGTAGTGTATAATCGTGTTGCATCATTTTTATGTAATGTATCTGTCCTTCAGATGGAAAAAATAACACTATACTGTGTCTCTCTCGTTTTCCACAGACAATGGATTCTGAATTATCACACAGTGTAATTGGGAGCTACCTTAACCCTCCAGAAAAAATGTATCCCCCATCGTTCATCAAGAATGAAACATCTCAGATTGGCCACCCTGTGAATTTAGAAGTCACCACTCCTAAAATGATTAATAGTCCAAACAACCAAGGTAATATTAATATGAAACTTTATAGAAAATCTGGAGCAGGCCATGTCATGAACCAGAGCTTGCTGTTGTTACTGAGAAGAGCGGATGATTATGCATTGAATATTCACAGACCCATTAACCACGTGTCTGCTGCTGTTCTGTGAGCTTACATAGGTCACTTGACATTCCTTAAAATATTGCTTCTTCTGTCATAAGCTAAAGATTAATATAACAAGCTAGTAAATATTACACATTTATTATAAAAAATATCTTAGAAAACAGAAAACTACTCTTAGCAATAAACTGTCAGCCTGGGTGGCGGCACACACCTTTAATCTCAGCATTTAAGATGTAGAGGCCAGCCTGGTCTTCACAGCAGAGAATCATTAGGTGATACTTCAAAAGCCTGTATTCCCCAATATTGGAAAACTCAAAGAAAATGGGTGATTTTTCTGGATAAGTACCATGTACCAAAATTAAATCAAGACCAGATAAGCAAATGAATTAGACCTATAACCACTAAGGAAATAGAAGCAGTCATCAATAGCCTCCCAAACAAAAAAAAAGCCCAGGACCAGATGCTTTCAGCACAGAATTCTACCAGAATTTCAAAGAAGAACTTAACTGATATTCCTCAAATTGTTCCACAAAATAGAAACAGAAGGAACATTGTCAAACTCTTTATGAGATTATAGTTACCCTGATACCTAAATCACATAAAGACACAATTAAGAAAGAGAATTACAGACCAATTTCACTCATGAACATTGATGCAAAAATACTCAGTAAAATACTGGCAAACCAAATCCAAGGACACATCAGAAAAATCATCCATCATGACCAAAGGAGGCTTCATCCCAGAGATGCAGGATTGGTTCAACATAATGAAAATCTATCAATGTAATCCACCCTATAAACAAACTGAAAACAAAACAAAACACATGATCATCTCATTAGATGCTAAAAAGCCTTCAACAAAATTCAACACCCCTTCATGAAAAAGGTCTTGGCGATAGCAGGGATACAAGGAACATACCTAAACATAATAAAGGCAATATACAGCAAGCCAACATTCAAACTAAATGGAGAGAAACTCAAAGTGATTCCACCGAAATTAGGAACAAGACAAGGATGTCCACTCTTTCCATATCTACTCAATATAATACTTAAGGTTCTGGCTTGAGTAGTACGACAACAAAAGGAGATCAAGGGAATACAAATTGGAAAAGAAGTCATATTTTCACTATTTGCTGAAGATATGATAGATAGCAAATATAGGTGACCTCCAAAATTCTACCAGGGAACTCCTATACCTGATGAACACTTTCAGTAATGTAGCGGGATACAAATTAACTCAAAAAAAGCACTAGCCCTCCTGTACACAGATGATAAATGGGCTAAGAAAGAAATCAGAGAAACATCACCCTTTACAATAGCCACAAATAACATAAAATATCTTGGGCTAACTCTAACTAAACAAGTGGAAGAGCTGTATGGCAAGAACTTTAAATCTTTGAAGAAAGAAATTGCAGAAGACATCAGAATTGGAAAGATCTCCCATGCTTTTGAATAGATAGCATTAACATAGTAAAAATGGCCATCTTAACAAAAGCAATCTACAGATTCAATGCAATACATCAAAGTCCCAGCAAAATTCTTCACAGACCTCGAAAGAATGGTACTCAACTTCATGTGGAAAAGCAAAAAACCCAGTATAGCCAAAACAATCCTGTACAATAAAAGAACTTCTGGAGGCATCACAATCCCTGACTTCAAACTCTACTACAGAGCTACAGTACTGAAAACAGCCTGGTATTGGCATAAAAACAGACAGGAGGACCAATGGAACTGAATAGAAGACCCGAATATCAATCGAACTCCTGATCTTTGACAAAGAAGCAAAAAATATCAAATGGAAAAAAGAAAGCATATTAAACTGGCATAACCGGTTATCAACATGTAGAAGAATGAAAATAGACCCATATCTATCACCATGCACAAAACTCAAGTCCAAATGGATCAAAGACCTCAACATAAAGCCAGCCACACTGAACCTTATAGAAGAGAAAGTGGGAAATACACTTGAATACATTGGTACAGGGAACCACTTCCTAAATAGAACCCCAGCAGCACAGACACTGAGAGAAACAATTAATTAATGAGACCTCCTGAAACTGAAAAGCTTCTGTAAAGCAAAGGACGCGGTCAATAAGACAAAACGACAGCCTACAGAATGGGAAAAGATCTTCACTAACCCCACATCAGACAGAGGACTGATCTCCAAAATATATAAAGAACTCAAGAAATTGGACACTAAAAGAACACATAATCCAATTAAAAAAAAAAAAAACGGAGTACAGACCTAAATAGAGAACTCTCAACAGAGAAATCTAAAATGGCTGAAAGGCACTTAAGGAAATGTTCAACATCCTTAGTCATCAGAGAAGTGCAAATCAAAACAACTCTGAGATTCTATCTTACACCTGTAAGAATGCCCAAGATCAAAAACACTGATGACAACTTATGCTGAAGAGGTTGTGGGGAAAAGGGAACACTTCTGCATTGCTGGTGGGAATGCAACTGGTACAACCCCTTTGGATGTCAGTGTGGCGATTTCTCAGAAAATTAGGAAACAACCTTCCTCAAGACTAAGCAATATTACTTTTGTGTATATGCCCAAAGTTTGTTCGATCATGCCACAAAGACATGTGCTCAACTATGTTCACAGCAGCATTATTCATAATAGCCAGAACCTGGAAATAACCTAGATGCCCCTTAACCAAAGAATGGATAAGAAAAATGTGGTACATTTACACAATGGAGCACTACTCAGCAGTAAAAAAAAATAATGACATCTTCAAATTTGCAAGCAAATAGAACTAGAAAAAAACATACCGAGTGAGGTGACCCAGACCCAGAAAGACAAAGCAGATATCAGAAATAAAGCAAAGGATAACCCACCTACAGTCCACAACCCCAGAGAACCTAGACAACAAAGAGGACCCTAAGAGGGACATACTTAGGAAGGAGAAAAAGACATGATTTCCTGAGTAAATTGGGAGCATGAGGGGTAGGGGTAGGTGAAGGGGAGTGGGAAAAAAATTATAAATCAATAAAAACGATTAAAAAAATGCATTCCCAGCAACCACATGGTAGGAGAGGATTGACTGTGTTTGCCATGGCACATGTGTACCCACACACATATATGCACACATACAATTTTAAAAGAGACTTATGATCATGCATGCCTTTAATCCCAGAATTCCAGATGCAGAGGCAGGCAGATCTCAGAGTTCAAGGACAGCCTGGTCTACAGAGTGACTTCCTGGACAGCCAGGGCTACAAAGAAAAAGATTATATAAATAAATTAATAAAAGATAGAGTAGAAATTCAGATTTGGAATCCTTCTAACTTAGATAATAACAATGCTAGTGAGTGAAATGGAGTTGTATTGTATTCAAGCATCAGGCAGAATTCACATATCCAAGGTTATCATTGCAAATCCCTTTGGAAGTCATTATATCTAAGTAACTATCAAATATGACTGTTACAACTTTTTAAACATAAACTTAAGAGAACCTTAAAATTGAATTAGGAAATATTTATGACTCCAGAAATATTTTATGCTTTACAAATTACTTTATAAGATCTGTTTGTTAATCCTCAAAATATCTGTACTAATAGTTGCTGTGTTAGGTGGGGTTTCTATTGGTGTGATCAAGCAGCCTGGTGAGGGCAGTGTTCCTTCCACTCACAACTCTCGGGTCACACTCCATCCATCCCTGAGGGAAGGCTGACCCTGGGGGCATGCTGCCCACTTGCCCTTTTCTCACGCCAGCCCAGGGATGGCACTGCCCACAGTGAGCTGAGCCCTCCCACATCAATGGTTAATCAAGACAGTGCACCCCAGGCTTTCCCACAGGCTGGTCTGGTGGAGGCATCTTCTCAGTTGAGGGTCCTCTTCCCAGGTGATGCTTGTGTCAGGTTGACATCCAAATCAGTGCACCAGCTGCTGGTGCCCCTGGTGCCCGACAAAGAGCCAACGAAAGTCTCAGCAAGCATTTTACTATGCTGTCAATGTTCACTGATTTATATTCCACTCAGCTCTACTTTTATCATTTGAAACCAGAAAGGGATAAAAAATGTAAAATGACGTTTGGGAAATGCTGAACTCTATATTTATCTGCTTCATGAAGATACCAGTGTCACTAAGTCAAAATCCCAGGAGCAAACGTGTGCTCCCTGCGTCTTTTAGTCCAGCCTACTTGTTTGTTTCACGGAAAAACTGTCCCACCTCACACACTTTAATATTGCTCTCGGCCAAAGAACGAAAAATGGCTGTGATTTCACTAAAACTGGCCACGTCAAGAACTGAGCACAACTTTAAACCTCAATTACCATGTTAATTAGTGGAAGGCCTCTCATTTGAATAATGAATTATTTGTGGTTCTGTCCTAGAAATCACTAATCCAATATATTATTGTTTTTACAAGCTACGTCATAGGAGATGTATACCTTTTTCGAGTCATTTTAATTTTGCTGGTTTAATACACCGACTTGTATATGTTTTCTGGCTACTAACAAACATACACTGTTTATTTTTTATTATTACCAAAGTTGCTGTGATAACTAAGTTTTCAAAAACTTTCACTTAAAGCCTTAAGCAGATTTCTTTTCAACAGCACTTGTTTCAGCGTTAAAAACACTCCAGGAAAAGATCCATCGAATCGAGCTGGAGCGGACTCAGGCTGAGGACAACCTGAACTCTCTGTCCAGAGAGGCGGCGCAGTATAAAAAGGCCTTGGAGAACGAGACAAATGAGCGGAACCTGGCCCACCAGGAACTGATTAAACAGAAAAAAGGTACATGACGACGGTTGTCAGCATGCTGGTTGCCAGAGCGTACAGTTCCACAGCAGCAAGCCCAGGGCACGCTGACTCCTTAAACATCTCTGCTTTTACAGCCACAGGGAGCTCGAGGCCGTGGTCTTATTCATTTTGATATTTGTGGGAAACTAAGGTAACTTTGAGCTCAGCTGCATTATATCTGTTATTCCAGCTCACACATACGTTTTTGGGGCATTGGTTTCACACATCTCTCATGCTGGTCTTGAACTTCCTGTAGCCAAGGGTGATCCTCCTGCTTCCACCCCAAGCGCAGGCTTGCTCTGTGCAGTGCAGGCGGCTGAGGTCCTCTAGCAGCTGAGCTGCATCCCCAGCCCCCAGTGCATACATATTTGAGTTAAAATAAAAGACTTAAGTGAGTTGTGTTTAGAAATTAGAATATTTTAGAGTAATTAATAAATCCCATCTAAACCCATAATACTATTATTATGGGTTTATATATTATAATAGTATAATATATACTACTATTATATTTTTGGTTAATGTTAATTTAAATTTTTTGAAATATAAAGCAATGGTAGTAATTAAGCAACATATAAATAGTAAAAATGAATGGAAAATAATTTTATTCAATTTGAGGAATTCAGGATTAATTAGAGGAGATAGGTAGAGACTTCTGTGGGAATTAGGAAAAGGGTATTAGATGAGAATTTTAAGAAATTTTGACTGGGACTTCTTTGTCTAATTCTTTCTTCAAACCTTTTTTGTTTTCCTTCAAAAACATTCACCCATATAATCACGCCCCTGTATGTGTTTCATCTTGCAAATAGCATGAAGAATGAGAAGAAAACATGAGACTGAATAAAATAAACTGATGGAAGTGAACGGACTCAAAACTGGCTACTTGGAGCTGGCGGGATTATTCAGCCATTAAAGGCCAGACTCACAGCTAAAAAAACTGGGTACTTGACCTTTTAGGATGAACTCAGTGGTCAGTAGTGTGGAGGAGAAGATGGAGGCAGGTGTGGCGGCACACACCTTTACTCTCAGTATTTGGGAGGCAGAGGCGGATCTCTGTGTATTCATAGCTAGCCTGGTCTGCATAGTAACTTCCAGGCTGGTCAGGGCTACTAAGTGAGAGATTGTTTTACCCCCACACACATTTTTTTTTTTTTTGATATAGAGAAAAAGAGGAGTGGAGGAGAGAGCCAGTGCAATGGCTCCATGCTGCCAAACTTGATGACCTGAGTTCTGTGCCCAGGAGATCTCCGTGATAGAAAGTGAAAATTGAAACCCACAGGTTGCTCTCAGACCTGTGAATTTGGTGAATGAGTGTTCACCAAAAGTAAGTTTAAAGTCAGTGAGCAAGAGCACTTGCTTACAAGAGGCCAGGATTTGAATCTCAGGCACCCATCTAAAAGGGCTGAGCATGGCTGTGAGTACCTAGAACTCTAGCTTTGGGGGTAGGCAGGAAAGAGAGGCACATCTTAGTTGCTTGCTGATCAGTCAGGCAAGCTGAACCAATGGCTTTCAGTCATGGGAGAGGCCTGACGCAAGGAAATAAGGCAGGGGGAATAGAGGAAGACAGTTGGCATCCTCCTCCTGTGGCTTGTGTGTGTGCAGCACACACAACACACATCACACACATACACAAAGTCACTTTTAGCTTTGGATTGAGTTTGCAGTATAACTAAATCCCTGATCTATGTAGTAATCAGCTAATTAGCTTATTATTTTGTCTTTCATAGATATAAGCATCCAGTTAAGCTCAGCCCAGTCTCGTTGTATTCTTCTCGAGAAGCAACTTGAATATACAAAGAGAATGGTTCTCAATGTAGAGCGAGAAAAGGCTATGATCCTAGAACAACAGGTAAGCATACTCTCCTTTGAGGAATGGTAATTTAATATGATTTTTTGAAGAATAGAATATGGGGAAATTTTCATATTATAAGCGTAGTAAGCTATAAGACTGTGTGTAGATTTTCAGCTGAAGTGATGGATGGTAGACTGTGCTCTTTAGGCTGATATCTATGCAGAGAAAATAAGAAAAAGTTAACAGATAATTGTAACATGAGGGGCCTGCTCATTGGGGTTTCTGCCCTGCCCAGTTCCCCACCGCCGGCAAACCCCAAAGAAAATCACACAGAGTCTACATTAGGTTATAAACTGATTGGCCCATTAGCTCAGTCTTATTAGCTCTTGTAGCTTATAGTAACCCATTGTTCTTATCTGTACTAGCCACATGGCTTAGTACCTTTCACAGTGGGGCAGGTCACATGTTGTTTCTTTGGTGGTCTGGGCTGGACTGCAGGAAGAGCTTCCTTCTTCCCAGAATACTCCTGTTCTCATCGCCCCGCCTCTACTTCCTGTCTGGTTGACCCACCTATACTTCCTACCTGGCCAATCAGCGTTTCTTTAAAACATGAATGACAGAATACAGACAATTCTCCCTCACCGGATAATCTGAAGAAGTCACACAAGAAAGAAGGAGGAGGGAGGGGCGGGGTTGGAAGAAGACTAGGCGCTAAGTGGGGCAGCACATAATCAGGGATTCAGACTGTGTACAGATTTAAATGCCCACAGTTTGGCTTGATATTTTGGTTCCTTCCTTCTGGACACATTAGTGACTTCAGAGGGGGCAGTTGAGACAGCACCTCTGACAGCCCGGCTTTAGCTCAGGAAATCAGCCTAAAGACTACAAAGAGTGAAAGCCTAGGCCCTCAGGCTACGTGCTCTGTGAAGTTCAGTAAGAAAAGCAGAAAACCTCAGTGACATCTAGGAGCGGGGACTCAGAACAGGACACAGTGACTCTCCCACAGTTAGCTCTGTGTAAGCAATGGCTCTGACAGACACCAGCCCCTAAAGTCACCAGCACTAGTCGGGAAGGGGCGCCCGTGCAACTGAGGCAGGGGCCGCTCGAGTTGGGAAGCTTGAGCCCACTCTGGCAACATAATTAGACTCTATCTCATAAAGGAAGAGGTGGGGGAGGAAGACGACATTTTCTGTTGAGTATTAGAAACCATAATTTGGTCAAGCAGATTAGAGAAAGAATTAAATATTAAAAATGAAATTTAGAACTAGTAGATCTACTGGATGATTACCAGACAGAATTCAAGAAATGGACACATGCCAACAAAAGGCAAAATTATAGTAAATTCAGAAAATAAGGAAAGGTAACATGTCAGTGTAATAAGAAAGATCTAACTGGATATATAACCAGAGGTTTTTAAATGGAGAGAAAAATGATGTAGAAGTAATTTGGTTTTGGTTTGTTTGCTGTTTTGAGGCAGGGTTTCTCACTGTAACAGTCCTAGCTATCCTGAATCTAGCTCTTGGAGACCAGGTTGGCCTCGAACTTACAGGGATCTATCTGCCTCTGCCCCCCAAGTGCTGGGATTAAAGATGTGCCCACCACCGCCCAGCTAAGAAGCAATTCTTGAAGATAGGGTAACTGAGCACTTTTCAAAATGGATTAAAAATTAAAATCATACCATTCAGTCAAGAGGCACCTGAGACAATTACCTCTTAAAGTGAAAAGGTTGTCAGGTGTGGTGACTCACACCTTAAACCCCTTACAATGGAGGCAAATCCAGTTGGATCTTTTTGAGTTCAAGTCTAGCCTGGTCTACATAGTGAATTCCAAAACTACATAGAGAGACCCTATCTCAAAAAATAAAAGTACATAATAAAATAAACAATTAAAAAAAAGTGCTCCGTGTTTATTTCAGTTTAAGCATTTCCATCCGTGGTTGCTTCGGGCCTGTGGCTTCATAGCAGGGGCTTCAGGAAAATGCAACCTTGCTGTCAGAAAGCAGGAGCGATGAAGTAGAGGCCAGGGCCACACTCCCCACAGTGACAAAGTCCCCCACTGTGCCCCACATCTCTATCCTGTGGATAGAATTGTTCTCTTTGTTTCTTTCTCATCATATTCGCAATTAACGTAATAAAAGCTGATTTGGGGATTGATTTTATGGCCTGTGTGTTGGGTTTCTTTATCTTTCTCAGTGCTGGCTTAGTGATCATAAATGACTTGGGTTTATCAAATATATTTCTTCATTAATTTTAAAGATAACTTTTCTGGATGTAGTTGTCTCAGGTGGTAATTGTTTGCTGCCAGGGCTGGAACTGCATCATTCCGGGCTCCCATCATTCCGGGCTCCCATCATTCCAGGCTCCCATCATTCCGGGCTCCCATCATTCCGGGCTCCTTAGGGGTTTTGCTGAGAAGTTTCATGTCATTCTGATGGGTTTGCTTTAGTTGCTGGTTTTCTCTTGCTGCTTGTAATGTCATTTCTTCTGGAGTTCTGGTCTTTTACCTGTGCTGTATGGTGGAGTGGCTCCTATTGGGGCATGTCAATTTGGAGTCCTAAGTACCCCTTGCATTAGTGGGGGGGGTGGGGGAGAATCACAGTGTTGCACAAAGGAACACATGAACATATGGGCATGAAAGTAATTGGGCAAGGTGATTTCGTTTTGGAAAACGGTGCTCTAGAATCCCAGCTAAACTAGGTAACATGGCCAGCAAGCCTGCCTTTCATCCCTGGCAGAGGCAGTGGTTGCATCTCTTCCCACACAGTCTGGTGTGATTGGCTAATTGGCAAGAAGGGGAAGAGGAAGTTTCAGGAACTATGGTCCTTGTTAAGCTAAACACCTTTGTAGTGAGGAGCATGTTTCTCACATTGAATGTCCATTTCTTTCCCCAAGTTGGGGAAAGTTTTGCCATAATTTACTGACTGTGTTGCTTTCCCCATTTCTATGACAGAATACCTGACCATAGCAGCTAAAGCAAAGGAGGAGCTTATTTGGGCTCGTAGTTTTACAGTATAGTAGCCCATCACAGTAGAGAAGGCAGAGCAGCAGGAACACGAGGCAGCTGGTTACACTGCATCTTCTTCAGTCGGGAGACAGAGATGGGTACTGGCATTCTGCTTCTTTCTCCTTATTCATTTCAGGACCCCTGCCAGTGGGATGATGCCACCTACATTCATACAGGTCTTTCCTCCTGCTTTAAACCTTTCTGGAAACAGTCTCATATACATACCTAGAGATGTGTTTTCATGGTGATTCTAAGTCCAGTCAAGTTGACAGTGAAGCTGAGCTATCACGGTCCTGTGCCTTATCAACCTGATGCCCAGCTGATGTGCTTTAGATCCCATGCATCCCAAAGTCTCATCTTCATCTCACAGTGTAAAATACATTTAGTTCATGTCTAAAAGTTCCTATAATCTTTCAACAGTTCAAACTCTTCTGAAGTTCAAAGTCTCTTCTGAGACTCAAGACAAACCCTTGACTTTGAGCTCCCATAAAATCAGGAAGAATTCCAGCCCAGTGATACGGATTAGACTTTCCTAGTACAAAAGAGAGGCAGGGCTATACAAAGATCAAACCAGAACCAGACTGAAAGTCAGCAGAGCCAGGATCAACCTTGTGCTGTGTGTGTGTGTGTGTGTGTGTGTGTGTGGTGACTGGAGCTGTGATGGAGTAGTCTGCGCTCCAACAGCCTTGAGGGGTCCTGCTCTTCTGCCTGTAGCACACACAGCCTCTCCCTTGAGGGGTCATGTCCTTCCGGCTCTTCTGCCTGTAGCACACACAGCCTCTTTCTTGGGTTTGTAACTTTCCTGAGATGTCCCATGATGTTGCTATCTACAACATGCTGGGGTCTCACTGCAGTTTAGACTTCACCTTGACTGCTTTGTACAGTAGCCTCTTTGCAGGAACTTGAAACCTGTCACACATTGCCTAGTGTCCGTGGCCTTCAGACATCTTGGTGCAAACCCTGATGACTTCTCACTCTTCTGTCTTTCATTTATGCAAAATCAAGACCATGTGGGTGACACTGCCAAGTTCTTCTGTCAGCCCAAGATGTGGTCTGACCTCTTGGGTCACGGTTACCGTGGCCTTTGTTTGCCTGCAGCTGTTTTCAATTGGTGAACCCTTCTAATGGCATTCCCAGTTCAGACTCTCGGCTTTCAAATGGATTTGCATTTGAAATCAATGCACAAGTTGGAACCGTCCATGGCTCTAGTCTTACCCTCATAGCAACTTTCCTATTGTTCCAAGGACAGGACCAGGTTTCTCTTTAATGGAGAATTAAATTTTAACACTTAAAATTGCTGTCCATCTTCCTTGGCTGCGACATTGAATTTCCCCAATGCTCTCATCTTGGCTACACTGCACATGTTCATATTTTTCTGGTCCACTTTTTGCTCTCTCTCAAAGCAGTGGGAAATAACAGTGCCAAAGCCTGAATCTAATCTTCCCTTGAAATTTCCTCTACCTAACAAATTAATACATTAAGAGGCTTAGTGTGTGTGTGAGCACATATGTATACACCTGTGGGCGCTGAGGTAGGCCAGAAGAGGGGCTTGGATCTTCTGGAACTCAAGTTACTGAGAGTTGTGAGCCACCAGATGTGGGTTTTGGATATTAGACCCAAGTCCTCTGGAAGAATAGCAATTGCAGGACAGGCTCCAAAGCTACAGAGAAATGCTGTCTCGAAAAACAAAAAACAAACAGCAACAACAAACAAAACAAAACAGAAAACAATTGTTCTTAACTCTTAACCGATGAGCCATCTTCATCTCGTCCTTTGCTTTTCAATTCAGCCTCTCCCAAGTGCTCAGGACAAGGGCAGAATGAGTCCAGTTTTGACACCAGAGCGTAGTGTGAATGGCCTCTAGCTCAGTTCCTGTTATCAAATCCCGTTTGTCTTAGGAATTTCATGAACTGGGACACCACTGTGTATCTATTGGTTTTCTTGTCTAGCCTTCCCAGAATGGCCCCTGAACTCTGCTTAAAGGATTCTAGGACTTTGCTAACTCACAGCTCTGAACTCTTTCACATTCTCCCTGTAAACTGGTTCCAAACACCTAAGAGCCCATGCAGTCAGCCTCATCGGTCCCACACCTCAGTACCAGTTTCCTGTGGCTGTGGCAAACACCCGACAAAAGCAACTTTGACCCCAGTCTGAGTGCACAGACCATCATGGTTAGGTGAGAAACATTAAATATGAGTCTTTCCACCAAATACCGTGACGCTTGTGGTGAAGAGTCAAATATGACCTTTTCCACTTTGTAATACTTTTATGTGAATGTTTTAACTACCACACACGTACACACACGCTGACACACACAGAGACACACACACAGTAGAACCTCTGTTCAGGCAAGGCCCTTCATTTCCCGTGCACTGATTCTTTCCAGGCCAGCCATTTGCAAAAGGTTGTGAGGTTGGATCCCAACCAAAGGAGGAGCGACAGTCACCTGAATTAGAATAAAAGCTGTGTGCACTTCCTGTTCCGGTACTTGTCTTCTGCTCTGATGAGCAGCACGTCACTTTTCAAGACTGAAGTTTTGCCTTGGCCAGACACTTCAGTTCCAATGGTGTCTCTTTCTTTCTGACCCCGTACTTATTCCTGACAGCGGCAGGATGGGAGACTGTGGTCACTGTGCATCCCCAGTCAGGAAGGTCTGCTTGAATTCTCCTCCTGTTTATTCAGTTTGGGATCCCACACATTCAGACTGGGCTGTCCCTCCTCTCTAACCCTTTCTGGAAGCACCTACACAGGCACACCCAAACATAGATTTCCACGTGGTCCTAAATCCAGTCAGGTTGACGACGAAGATTAGCTTAGCTGTTAGCTTTTATCTTGTCTCCTCCGGCCGAGGGAGCCTCAGATGTGAGTGTGCTCCTGTCCCGGAGTGGTTCCAGGGTGCTCATGCTTGCGTCTTTTCTTTACTGAAGTCTGAGTGTGGTGATCCCTCCCCCTTGTCTTCACTCCCGATATTCCTTGTTCTGCTTGAGCTAGTGATTCGGTGCAATGTCTGATGCTCTCTGCTGTGTTTTAATTTGGCAAATTGGGCTTTTCATTTCTGACATTTTGGGGTTTTTTTCTCCCAAAAATGGCAGCTTCTTTCCTGAGTTTCTCACACATCCCTGAATTCATTTCCTTCCTTTGTTTACCTGCTTCTTCTGTGTTCAAAGTCACTGCGCGGTTCTCTTGTTAGCAGGTGGGCTCTGAACCCTCCATTCAGCCTTCATTGAGGGGTCTGACCTTGGGGGGCGCTCTACTCCCCTTTCTGTGCTGCTCGTGGTTTACACATTGCTGGTGGGAGTTCTGCTTTTATTCGGGGACCTTTGTGAACAGCCTTCTCTTAGGGATTTAATTCTCAGTCACACTGAGAGGAGAAAACAGCAACAACACCAGACCAAGCAAGAAATAAAAACACACCTAAGCCCATTACAGCCATCTCCTGTGCCACTCATGACACGGAAGAGAAAATAGGAAGAACACAATGCGGAGTGTGCTGTGACGTTAGCATTTGTTTAGGCTAACAGTACAGATAGTAGATGACCAGGACAGGCAACCCAGCATGACAGCTTCGTGTCCAGGCTGTGCTCTCTAATCCTGCGCCTCACCGACTGCCCCGTGGGAGATGCGCAGCTGGGCCAGGTACCATTCTGCTGGAGATTCTGAGCTCACTGCTGCTGGCCCTGACCTACAAGGCACATTGGTGGCTCCAGATCCACTGACCTCAGGCTCAGGCCTGCCAGTTGTCCACAGTCATCTTCAGGTAATGGAGTCTGTTCCCATCCTCAGGAGGAGGTGGAGCTCCATCCATCGTACCGTCCCCTGCCAGAGCCCCGCTGCCTGAACCTCTCCAAGTCCCTTCCCGCACTACAGCTGCCTCCTCCCAGAGGCATGTGGTCCCAGGCTACCACCTGCCTGTTTCTCAGGTCCCCAGAATAGCTCAGTCTGAGAACAGTAGGCTGGCTCCCTTGCACACAGCCCTCAGAAATGGGGAGTGTTGGCCTGTCACACATGAGGAGTCACCATCTAACAGATTCCCCGACATGAATGGGTAGCTTCCAAGAGCTTCTTCACTATGCGGCTGCCTGCCTTACCTTTTGGACTCCATCTACGTCTTGCTCCCCCTGCCCGAGAGCCATGGCTGAAGCCATGAGCTACCCATCCTGTTAGCTCCCTTGCCCTTCTTCACCCTTCTGTCTGTCCTGTCACCTCCTTTGTGATTTGTGGTGCTTCCCATCTTTCTCTCTTTGGAATAGTCTGTGCTCTGTCTGACTCTTCCTAGCGTCACTCAGAGGCAGCTTCTAATGTACCTCACCCCGAGTCTTCTTTTAATTCTTTCAACTATTCTATTTTTATAAAGTTATCTAGTCCCTACCAAACACTTTTTGCCTTCATCCAACAGAGTTTGGTCATTTTTATTTTTATTTAATTCATTTAAAAGTGTTTTCAAATCTTACTAGTGGTTTATTTGTGTGCATACATGTGTGTGGTGCAAGGAATTGAGCCCTGGGCATCATACATACCAGGCAAGTGCTTCACTGTTGAACTGCTCCTTCAACCCATTACTCGTTCATTCATTCATTCATTCATCCATTCATTCATTCGTGTTAAGGCAAGCTCTCAATCTGGTGCCAGGGTGGGTTTGAACTTGCAGTGGTCTCCCCTTAGCCTTGCAAGGGGCTGGTGTTTCTGGCATGAACCAGCACCCCCAGCTCCGGTGATAGCGTCTTCCTTCAGACACCTGTATTCTAACTTGCCACAGTCTGCCTTAACTAGTGCTAAACACTTCACGAGAAAGACCTTCTGCCATGTGCTTCCAGTTTCCCATCTGTAGGGCAGCTTTCCTTTGCCTTTACATGTCATGGAACCGACCCGTAGTTCCTTGTTAGCGCTCTTAAAGTCTGATTGTCCTTTAAAGAAAATTACAAAAATATATTTATTTACATTTTAATCATTTCCAGTGCATTTCATTTTTCTGCATAGATTGAGTTTCTTCAGTCTGAAGGAAAAAAATTAATGCCCAAAATTCTCATAGCATTCATATACCTGGAGAAGCCTTTATTTTAAACATATTTGTGAGAGGTGTTTTTGCTAGACATAGAACTCTAGTTTGTGACTTTTATGTCTGTTTTGTATGTGTGTATGTTTGAGTGTGTATGTGTATTTAGGTGTGTGTGTGTGCGTGTGCGTGTGTGTGTGTGTGGTGTCAGGGCACACACCTGGTGGCCAACTCTTCAGAAGTCCATTTTCTCTTCCTTTTGTTTGGAGGCAGGGTCTGCCTCTGTTTCTGCAGCTGAGCTGCATACTCCACGCTAACTGGCCTGTGAGCTTCCACACAGCTCCCCTGCATCTGCTGACAGATGCACTCCACCTTGCTCGGGTTCTTCTGTGGGTTCCAGGGACCGAACTCAGATCATCGGGCTCTAACAGCGAGTACTTTTACCCTCTGAGCCGTCTCTCTTGCCCTGTATGTTTATTTATTGGGAGTTGTTTTTGTTTGCTGGCTTGTTGTGAACTAGTCTCTAAAGTGCGCTCTGGCCTTTGACCTTGCTGCATTGCCTAGGCTGATTTCTGGCTCAGGATGATCCTCCTGCCTCGACTCTTGAGTACTATGATTACAGAAGTATACCACAATGCCCAACTTTAAATTTTTAGCACATTAAAGATTTTTGTCCCAGTTGTCTTAAGCGTTCGTGGTATCTAATGGCTGTTCTTGTCTTCTTCCCTCTATGTGTGCTATGTTTCTGCTTCTCAGGACGCTGGTAAGATTTTCCCTTTATTGTTAATTTTCAGCAACTTGATAATTGATGCACTGTTTACCACTCTCGAGACTGTGGGACCTGGGGGAACGGAGGCAAGAAATGAAGCCGACTGAAGTCTCATGCAGTAGCCAGCTCGGTCTATGCCCTGAGGGTTAAGAAAAGTCACCTGAGTAAATTTCTCATGATTTCAAGCTGGGTGTAATCACAAGGAGGAGCCATATGTGGCAAAACCGTGTTTTTCCATAGAGACAGATAAAGGCTAGTTTAAGCACTAACAGCAACAATCAATGGTGAGGAGCCTGAGGTAAACCCACTCCCATCTGCTACACCTGGGAGGAGCAGGAAACCGTCCAGGAACACCTCTGTTTGGAAGAAACCGAGGGCACAGACTCCTGTCTTCTTGGAGTGTTCTCACAAGCACTCAGAATTCTCCTCGCACAACTCCATTCCTGGGCCGTGTTCTGACAATGCCCCTCTGTTCAGTTTCCTACTTGTTGATTCGACTTTTTTATTTCTGGTGTTTGGGGTTTTTTAATCTTTCAATATTTTAAATTATGCTTAGACTATTTTTAGCCTGTATTCTTCCAGTGGGCATTCTGCCCTACTCCTCTTAATTCTCAGAGATGGCACTATTGGGCCATCGGCCTCCAGGACCGCGTTTAGTGCCCACTTTCCATTTTGTTCTAATTAGTGGGCTTTCCCTTTTAGAGCCATGTTTATGTTCCCAGAAACCCGAGTAAGGTTCTTCTTTGCCCCTCAGCGTTGGTCCTTATTACTAATGTGGTAATGAACAATCCTGTGAAACAGCCTGCGCATGTGTGGGGTTAACTTTCCCGTCATGTTCTGTCCCCAGCTGCTCTCCTCTGTTAGAGTCAGGGAGGCTGGGCTGTGAGCAGGCTTGGTCACCTGTGGCCACACCTCATCTCTTTGGTGTAAGTTTTGTGGGATCCCCTCCCCAGTGCCACTGTTGTATAAGGATGCAAAGAGGTTTATTCTGTCCGTGCGAATTCAGCGACATGTTCGTCACATATCACATTTGCTCCTTAAAAGGATTTGATTTTCTTGTTCTCTGCTTGGAAGTGCCTAACATATGTACCTGTGTGTACATGTTTCTAGCAGCTGATTATGTTATATTTCGATTTCTCAGAAATTATGTGACTCTTGATCCACTGGCATCACTTGCCAAACTAAGATTTCTTTCTTCTTCTTTTTTTTTTTTTTTAATCTTTTCCAGGCCCAGCTTCAAAGGGAAAAAGAACAAGATCAGATGAAGCTGTACGCTAAACTTGAAAAGCTCAATGTCTTAGAAAAAGAGTGTTTTAGATTGACAGCCACTCAGCAGACTGCTGAGGTAAGCTTCTTGTCTCGGAGGTGATGGCGCCGGGAGGGAGGCAAAGCTGGCACTGTATAGGAGTGAGCAGCCAGAGGGTTAGAGCCCTTCATGTACAGCATTCAGTAATCCGGGTAATTCCCGCCTGGGGAGAAAGTGTGTTCCTGGCATGAGGGAGCTTGCCTGCTGATAGCACAGCCGGCGCCTGACTAAGACGGCAGGGCATTCTCACTTGTCAGGTGTCTGACCTGAAGGGTGTGAGGTGGCCTTTAGTGTCCGTCCTACACCCCTGCTCCTCCTCCCGCCAAGTCCTTGTCGCTTCCCAGAACTGCGCTAGAACCTCTTTGTAGCCCCTCAAAAGCTGCAAGACTCAGAAGTCTCTCCCCTTGACACTTCTGTCATGGTTCCTGTTGCAAACCACACACGGTGTAATATGTGTGTAAGGTATGGAGTGTGCAGTGAGCCTTTCAAATTGTCATTGCTTTACCATTTCATGTGTGTTACTCTTTTAACATTTGTTATGCTATGTGTATGTGAATGATGGGGTGGGGTGCATGCATGCCATGACATATGTGTGGAGGGCAGAGGACAGCTTTGTGGAATTGCTCCTCTCCTTCTACTTCTGTGTGGTTCCAGGGATCAAACTTGCATGGCAGGCACTTTACCTGCTGAGCTGTCTTGCTAGCCCTCCAGCTTATTATAATCCTTGTTTGACAGAGCATAGCACTAAGTAAGCTCTTAAATAACCAGGGCCAAGTCTTACATTTCTCAGGTGTCTTCCGGCCCTGCTCCCCAATATTATCCCCCATCGCCTGCACGTGGCTGACATTGCTATTGGTTTTTTGTTTTGGTTTATTTTGGTTTGGATTTTTTGTTTGTTTGTTTGTTTTTGATTTTTTTGGTTTGGTTTCGTTTTGGGGGATTTTTTTGTTTGTTTTTGGTTTTTTGGTTTGGTTTGGTTTAGGGTTTTTGATTTTGTTGTTGTTGTTGTTGTTGTTGTTGTTGTTGTTTTGTGAAAGTTGAGACCCAAGACCATAATATATTTAAAAGCTGTAGCATTCACGGAAACTTCATCATGGTTCTGGTGGTAGCTGAGAATAAAACTTGTGGGTTTATTCTCTGTGGGTCTGGTGGCGGCCACGAATAAAGCTGTGGGTTTATTCTCTTTCATTTTGCCCTCATGTGCAATAGCAAGGAAGGAAGCATAGGTAGACAGCCAAGAGAAATCATGGCATCTTTGCCATTCCTTTTTCTTACTTTCTGCTCTAACTTGCTAGCTCTTAAAAATCTCGACCCCCTAGGACCGTCTTGGAAAGGACGTTTGGCTCTGGTTTTCACACGTGTTCACTGTTGCAGGATAAGATAAACTATCTAGAGGATTTGGCTCTGGTTTTCATACATACGTGTTCACTGTTGCAGGATAAGATAAACTATCTAGAGGAAAAACTAAAGGAAGAGGAGCACCAGCGTAAGCTGTTTCAGGACAGAGCGTGTGAGGTCGGTAGCGTTCTGTCGTCTATCACAGTGACTGCATGTCTTTGAATACTTCACTCTCGTGACCTGCACCCTAGTCTACACTCAGTTTGGGTGTTGCAGGTTGTTACGACAGTCTGTTTTGCTGTAGTAGCAAAATTCTCACTTAGCCTGTACATTCATATTCTCAGATATATTGCCAAAGACTTTGCATATCCTAATATATATTCTTAGTTGAGGTAACTGACTCCTGGCATATATTAGTTTCATCTTGAGATATCACATGAGCATACCATGCACACACACACACACACACACCCTAATTCTTTTAGAAACAGAAAATAGGCATAATTGCCAAACTAATGTATTACTGGAGTATTCTTTTTCAAAAGGTTCTTGGGTTTGGAACTTTATTTTTATTGTTTTGTTTTTTAACACTGAGTCTCACTGCACTGCCCAGGCTGGCCGTGAGCTCCTAGGCTCAGGCAACCCTGCTTCAGCTCCATCCAAGTTACTGCAACTAAGCCCTGCTTGACTTTAGAATGCATTTTATACTTGAAAGCTGAGATCTCAACTTTCGTTATGTATAAAGAAGCTTGTTAGAGATCAGTCTTATGAATTATTTCTTTAATTTTATAGCTTCAAACTGGATTGGAAATCAGCAGACTTTTAATGTCTACAGTTTCACAATCACAGCACTCTAAGGAAAAGAAGAAACCACCAAAGGTATGTAATTCAGCTTTCCCCAGATATTACTTCTTAACTTTATGATAGACATTTATTTGTCCTTTAGTCTTTTCTGCTTCTTTCTAGAAAGGTTTAAAAGATATTTATGGCTGGGCGGTGGTGGCGCACACTTTTAATCCCAGCACTCGGGAGGCAGAGGCAGGTGGATCTCTGTGAGTTTGAGGCCAGCCTGGTCTACAAGAGCTAGTTCCAGAACAGGCTATAAAACTACAGTGAAACCCTGTCTCGAAAAGCCAAAAAAAAAAAAATTAAAAAAAGATATTTATGATAAAATACATTTTCTTACTGTTCTATTGCAGTAAAGAGACACCATGACCAAGACAGCTCTTATAAAAGAAAACATTTAATTGGGCTTTGCTTACAGTTTCAGAGGGTGAGCCCATTACCATCGTGGTGGGAATCAGACAGTCAGGCACTAGAGCAACAGCTGAACGCTTTATGTCCTGATCCAGAGGTAACAGGCAGAGAGAGAGAGACACAGAGAGAGAGAGAGAGAGAGAGAGAGAGAGAGAGAGAGAGAGAAACTGGGTCTGATGTGCTTCTGTGTACCAAAGGAAAAAATCCTAAATGCAGGTTTATATAAATACATATACAGTAAAAAGAAAAATTTTTCAATTTTATTTATTAATATTTGAGACAGGGTTACACCCTAGTAACCCATGTTGGTTTCAGACTTGTCACATAGCCTGGGCTGACCTTGACTCCAGTCCTCCTGCTCAAGCCTCCTGAGTAGGTGGGATTACAGCCATGTACTGCCACACCTGGCTATCTGGCTGTGTTTTGTTATACATTTATTTAGTGTGTATGTATGTGATGTGTGTACATGCACGCACACACATATACACACATGCAACCATGGCACGCACATGGAGATCAGAGGACAACTTGCAGAGCATGTTCTACCTTTTGGGTTCTAGGGATTAGACTCAGATTGCCAGGGCTTTTACAAGGGTCTTTACAAATTGAGCCATTTCATTGGACCCTTAATAATTTTTAAAAGGAATTTTATAACTATATTCAAAATTGGGGAAATAGCACAGTGATAGTTAAATGTTTGCTGAACAAGCATGAGGGATGCAATCCATCTCCAATTTAAATGCCTGCGGGGCATGGCGGCCTCCCTGGTAATTAGATCCTTGAAAGGTAGAAACAAGGAAATCCTTGATCAAGTTGGCTAGAGAAATTAGCCATATCAATGAGCTCTGGGTTTGGTTAAAGGACCTTGCCTTCAACAAATAAGGTAGAAAGACAATCTAGGGTGATTCTGTCATCAACCTTGGGCTTCCACATGTATGCACATAATGTACACTCCACACATGTGCCCACAAAGATACAAACAAAAATGGAAAGATAGTTTTATAGCTATAATAATAAAAACCACTTATTTTGCTTATTTCCTTAATCTCTTTTTATGTCTTATTTGAGTAATGAGATTTGAACTGGAAACCCAAATAGAAAAACACTATAAATAATTTGCAAATGGAACAATGACTGTTATTAAATATTTCTTTAATGTTCTCTTTTATCCGATAAGATAGTGTAACTTTACATATTTATTGTAGAAACTATGAGACGATAAAAGGGATATAAGAAAGAAAATATAACTTCTGAAAGAGTAGAGGGTAATTAGGAGCAAAATCAGTTAGTAAAAGTGCTGTTTTGCAGGGTGAAAAGGCGCTCTGACATCACCGGAGAGAGGCTCAGAGTGCAGACGCTCCCATTTGTCTCCAATACCGTGTTTCCATGTCTCCGGCTGAGTATTCAGCTCATGGATGTCTCTAAGAGACAGACACAGATAAACCCAGCGTGACAGTTCATGCTTAGAGTGCCAGCTGGGGCTGAGGCAGGGAGTCTGGGAGTTCAAGGACAAGCAGGGATATATTTGAGACATGGGAGTGATGCAGAGCCGCCACACTGCAGTCATCCCAGAATCCTGAAGAATGACACCCTGCAGAGAGGAGAAGTGCGTTATAATGTAATCCTACTGGGGACAGAGATGCATAATCTCAAGATCATCCTGGCCTAACAAGATACTGTCTTCATAAAGGGGGAAAAAAAACAGTAACTTTTAAAGTTGGGTGTAGTGATGAACATTTATAATTCCTATACTCAGAAGGCCAAGACAGGAGGGTCCTGTGTTTAAAACCAACCTGAAGTACATAGTAGGTTCCTGGCTAGCCTGGCAAACAGTGAGACTCCTGTCTGAAAACGGGTGGTAGTGTTGAATTTGAACTTTTACTATAAGTAGTTGGCACCCATTGAAGGCTTTTAGGAATAGTAGAGACAGAGGTATAATTCTAATGGTAACTGAGAGGCCTGAGAGACATACATAGATTTGTTACCTGTGTGGCTTCATGTAGCCATCACAACAATCAAGATACTGTCCACCCACTCTAAGGTTCTTCCAGACTGTTCCTTCAGACCCACACCCCTCCCCCAGCCCCTGCAAGTGTTATTCTATCCGCCTTCTCTGTAGTTTTCTTATTTCAAGAATCCTGTGTGGTTAGGCACTGTGGAACATGCCAGCAATCTAAGTTGTGAGGCGGCTGAGGCAGTGGGATTGCCATGATTTGAGACCAGCCTGCACTGCATAATGAGGCTGTATCCCAATGAGAAAAAGATCAAGTAGCGTTATACAGTGTGAGCTTTTGGGGTTGCTTTTCCCTGGACTTCCATCTGAGTGGCTATCTATTCTCTTTGCCTTTTACACTAATCCACAGTAGGGATCTACTACACCTTAACAGTCTCTGTTAAGGACATTTGCGTTGTTGCTACTTTCAGCTATTGCAAGTAAAGATACTGTATCCATGTGTTGATGGTTTTGTGCATGTGTGTGTGTGTGTGTGTGTGTGTGTGAACAGCAATTTTAATTTTTCTAGAATAATTACTCAAGAGTGCAATTGTTAGGACATATGATAAATACATGTTTGACTTTATAAAAAATGGCCAACTTGTCACCCAGAGTGGCTTTACCAATATGCAAGTGATGTAGTTTCTCTACTTCTTGACAATATTTGATGTCTTCACTGTTTTTTTTTATTTTGCCCATTTTAATAGGCATGTGATGATGTTTTCTTTTTTATTATTAACTTTTTTATTTTGGGTATTTTCTATTGCTCTGAATAGGTTGTTAACCATCTCTTTATGTGTCTGCCATTTGTCTTCTGGTCAAATGTCTGCTCCTGCATTCAAATTGCACTACTTGCTGCTGAGCTTTGAGAATTTTTCGTATCATAAATAAATATATATTAAAATAGTACTTTGCTTCCTTTTTCTCTTGCTAACCTTTAGAAAACAAAGTGTTTAAAAAGGGAACCCCCTCAGCAAATGGACCCGAAGTGTAGAGCACAGTCTTTGGAGAGGGAGAAGGTAAGAGGACAGAAATGGGGAGCGTGGCCTTGGTTTGCAGATGCTGCTCATACACTGCCCTAGTCAGCTCTCTCTTGCTGTGAGGGACGCCATGACCAGAGGCATCTGGGGAGGAAAGGGTTTGTTTCAGTTTACAGACCTCCATGAAGTGAAGCTGGGACAAGAACTTGCTCTCCAGGGCTTGCTTAGTTTACCACCTGCCCAAGAGTGGCACTGCCCCCACTTACACCAGTCTTTAACCAAGACTGGCCTGCAGACCAGAGGATGGCAGCATTTTCTCAGCTGCTCTTTCCAGATGACCGAGCTTGTGTCAGGCTGACGGGATCTAACCAGCACACACACTGTCAAGTGCTAGTCTGTTCACAGCTGTGTCTTCCCCTTCATGTTGTTCAGCGCGGGCTGTTCCTTTAATGCAAGCCTGTAAATTTCTGCAGGTGATGCATGCCTATGGGCTCCATTGCCTTCAGAGACCTGCTCCAGTCACTGAGCCACAGTGTCGCTACAAGCCTCTCAGAACAGCTTCCCGGGGCAAAGCTGTACCCTCTAACTCAGGAGAGCCCATTCCCACCTGCGACAGCTTGTCTGATCTTCTGATGGCAATGCAAGAGGAGTTGGACCAAATGACCGCGTAAGGGTTTGTTCTTTATTAAAATAACCGTACGTGTTTAGATACATTTTTTCTCGACTCTTTTAAGAACAGTATCAACTATAAATTCATTTAGATTTATTTTTATTAGTTTAAAAATTGCTGCATGTGAGTGGGTATGTGCACATGGTGCAGGTGCTCTGAGATCGCAGAGGAGGAGCTGGGTTCTCAGGAACCGGAGTGACAGAGGGCTGTACCCGACTCAGGTCCTCTACAAGGGTAGCACACATTCTCAACTCTTTAGTGATCCCTATAGCTTCCACCTATAAATTCTCCATGGCTATTTGGACTTACTTTGTTTTGATTCACAAACTTATCGATAATATTTTTCATTGTTTCTACTGTACTATTCAACTTTTTAACTATGTCTAATTACTACTTTCCTGTACTCCATAGATTTACACTGATATAAAGATATTATGAATCACATATATTGAGTCCGAAGACTTTAGATTAGAACTCAGAAGAGCTTTTAGAAGGAATATGCTTTTTTTTATTTTTAAAAAATCTTTTAGTAATGTGGGTGATTTCACTAGGCAGGTAAGAATACCATTCCTTTTAGATTCTGCCTGGTCCATCTGACAGATTGGGAAGCTTCCTCAGTAAGGAGGATCTGCACAGGGGTTATTGTATTATAGCCCATGCTTAAATCCCTTTCAGCATACACATCAGGACTATGTGACTAGCTAGCAGACTTGCTGAACTCATGAACTGCCGCTGCACACATACTCTCTCGGCAGTACCTCCAATCCCAGACATGGAACTGAAGAGAACCGTGTGTGGCCCTGGCCAAACCCTGTAGAACCATTCGTTCTTTTTAGCTGAGAACACCAGGAATTTAGATTGTTTTTTAGATTATTTAACAGCTAGATACTGAGGTAGTTTTAGATCTAAATTGTTTATTGTGATTTAGTTATATAATTCTAATGCTAGTGACTGTTTTTAAAGATTAATATTTTACTCTTAATTAACTCATAGTTGAAGAAAAAATTAGTTGTGACAAACAGATGAACTATAACTGTATGTAATGTCTGCTCTGTTTTTAATCATGCAAAAATGATCCATGTGTCATGTCAGACAATACTACTTTTGTGGATTTATTTATTTATATTGCTAAGTATTGAACACAGGATCTGACATGCAGAGAAACACTCTCTGGCTGAGTTGCTCCCCAGCCCTGATGTTTGCTCGTCTCTATAGAGAGCACAGAGAGCTGCTGAGACAGACGGGAAGCCATTCAGTCTCTGAGGACATGGAGCACGAGCTGCAGCAATTAGTCAAGAAGATGGAGAGCAAAGAAGACCAGATTTCCAAACTCAAGAAGCATCAAGACAGTGTAAGAACACTACTTTTTCACACACACACACACACACACACACACACACACACACACTACTCTTTCTGAGAGCTGCTGGTCTTCAGAACACAAAAACAACTGCCGTACAATCTTTGAAAAGGAAAAAAGAAAACAAAGAAGTACTAGAAATATATATATATAGTTGGGATTTTCTGAGCTACCAACCAGCTCCCCAAGAAAGACAAGGGGACTTATTATTAATTATGAATGCTCAGCCTTAGCTTGCTTAGGTTTGACCCACTAGCTCTTTTAACTCAACCTAACCTGATTCTATTTACCTATGTTTTGCCTTGGGCTTCTTACCTTTCCTTCATTCTCTATGTCCTACTTTTCTGCTTCCTCTGTGTATGTCTGTCTGACCCCTGGCATTTCTTTTTCTTTATTCCCTAATCCTAAATTTTTCCTCCTACTTACTCTCCCTGCCTGGAAGTCCCACCTATACCTCCTCCCTCACTATTGGGCATTCATCTTTTTATTAGACCAGTCAGGAGCCTTGGGCAGGCAAGGTTAAACAACAACACATCTTTACAGTTAAACAGATATTCTGCAACATAAACAAATGCAACATATTTTTGCATAGTTAAACAAATATTCTGACACATAGATGTGGATTCAGTGTCACATGACCTTCCAGTTGGAAATTTGTGGTATAGTGTGCTAAAAGATACACAGGAGTCGCTTGGTCTTCTTACAGAGAGCCACCACTGCAGGTAATACCATGGCTCTCCTATACAGTTCTTTAAGGTGAGAATGGGGGCAGAAGAGTTCCTGTGCAGTCAGGCCCTGGAAATGTGTGGTAGGCTATAGCCTTGGTAACCTCCAGCTACCCTTCCAGCATTCCTGCCTCCTCTCTTCCCTCCCTGCTTCAGGGATGTCCTCTCACAGAGGCAGGACCGCACAGAAACCTGGTACCGCAGTCCTGACACCATTCTCGCCCTGCTGAAACAAGTTGGGCTCTATTGTGTTCCCTGGAAACCTACGCTTAGCCACCTATAGTTTGTAGGATTCAGGTATGGAGGAATCTGCACCTGTGTTTTAGTGGCCTTCACTATTTTAGCCGAAGAATCAAGAGTATATTTTACTCTAAGCCAGTGACTGTATCCATAGATGAACTTAGAACACTGTGACATTGCTGAAGCAGAAGAGAATCTCTCTCTCAATCTCTCTCTCTCTCTCTCTCTCTCTCTCTCTCACACACACACACACACACACATTCACACACACTCACACACACACACTCCTATAAGAGGGAAGGGTCAGCATTCAGACAAGCTGCTGGTATATCAACCCTCCACACGCACACACTTTTATAAGACAGTGATTTGTACCAGCTCTCAATATTACTGTATTCGTTATGCTTATGGCCAAGAAAGAAAACTGTATTTTCATTTTACTGGCTTTAAAGACTATAGCAAGTAAGAAAAAAAATTATGATTGTGTTGGGGCAGAGATTGTACAACTTGTGCCCTTTCTGGGAATCGCACAGAAGAAACTTTAGACAGAGGAATAATCACAATTTTAAAGTTACCCAATCTATATATTTTATAATTTGAATAAGCGTTCAAGCCTTCTATTGTGATAAATTTAACCTTTAACCAAAAATTGCCTCCTAGACAAATAAACACTTGTTCTTAGCACTAGTTCTTTCCTTTGCTGTCAACATCACCTAAAACATCGCACTCTCGTGGAGCTCTGTTCTGACCAGTGCCTCTGCTCAGCTTCCTGTCCACAGTCAGCTCCCTGAAGCCAAGGCCGCCTGACTAATGGTGTCAGCCACGGGCCAGGCGGCCACTGAGTAACTTACTGAACTGAACCTTTGGGCATAATCTTTAAGCCACCAACCCAGTCATCTATTTTAGGGTATGTTTATATTAATTTTTATCTTAAACATTAGATTTTCTTTTCTCTACAGGTCCGTAAACTACAGCAAAAAGTTCAGAAATCAAGGATAAATGAATCCTCAGGTCTCCATCAAGAAGATGGCCACCCTAAAGGACCAAAGAACATGAAAAATAGCCCCAGGAAATGTTGGAATGAAACCAACCCTTTTCAGAAACACAGCACCTGCCATCCGGCCCAAGTCCACAATCTCCAGGTGAAACTGAGGAAGGACGACATCATGTGGGAACAGTGACCGTGGCAAAGCTGTCGCCTAAATGAACCTCACCAGTGAGATCTTGCGTGTCTACGTGGTTTTTATTTAATATACTTTTGGGAACTTATGAATTATGTTTCTGCCTTCTATAAAATGTGAAGTTGTATATTTTCAGAATAATGGCTAATGACCTACCAAGAATCCCAGAATAATATGACTAATTTTTGTTGTTGCTGTTAACCAGAGGCCCGGCCCTCATCAACCTGCAGAAGGAGTCACTTTGCGGCTCCCTTGAGGTAAACCTAAGAAGGGTACCGAATGGAGTCTCATTAAAATCGAGCTACACCTGAGCTTTGAGGGCCATTCCACAATTCCCCTTCGGCAGACTGTCACCTGTAGAGCAACACGGAGTGACCAGAATCCTTTAACTTCCCTGGCATGGCCACCTTATCTTGTTTTAGATCTCAGCAGTATTCTTGTTTGTTTGCTATGGAAAGGGGAAATCACAATAACTCTGCAGCGTTTGAGAACACCTTTAACTCAGCTTTCCTGTGACAGCTGTGGAAAGGGTCACATAATTATTTAATTGTCAAAGACGTTAATTCAGCTTTCTTCCTCTGCTGTCACCATGCTCTTTCCACACCTGCTGCTCTGGACACCAGTAGCTGATTTCCTTTCACTCTTTCATAACTGTTTCTGGTTTCTCGTTTGCTTTATATGTGGTTCTCATCAGTACATGCCAATGTGAATGTCCGGGACCCAAGAAGATAATGGGATTTTATAAGAACCTAGGCATTTCATTTTCTTTATTCACAAGAGAAAGTGAATGCGGTATCTCTTTTTATACTTTAAAATCAGTGCTGTCGCAGTGGATTTCTTTGTTGTATACATGTTTTATAATAAATTTACACTTTGTCTTTTAGAAGCCTGTGGAAATTAGTACATATCTTTGGAACACTCACCTTTTTATTTTCTGGGACAACTGGAAAACTGAGGTCATCAGCTGAAATAGAACTAGAACTGGACAGGAAGCTGTGCTAAGGGAAAAGCTCGGGATCAGGGAGGAAGTGTAAGAAACGGGCCCGTTCCACAGGGTCAGTTAGAGCGCGTATTCCCGGTGGATGGGGAGTGTGCAGTCTGAGGATGCAAACCCTGTTGATCAGGAGCGCAAGGAGCTGCTTCAAAATAAAACTAAAGAAGAATTGTTTTCTATCTTTGTTTTTTTTTTATTTTGTTTTTGTTTGTTTGTTTGTTTTTTCTAGGACAGGATCCCTCTACACAGCCCTGGCTGTCCTGGAACTCACTTTGTAGACCAGCCTAGACTCGAACTCACAGAGATCTGCTTGCTTCCATCTCCCAAGTGCTGGGCTGGGATTAAAGGCCTATACCACCACCGCCTGGCTCTCATTTTTTGAGACAGTAGGCCAGGCTGGCCCCGAACTCACTATGTAGTTAATGGTCTTGAACTAGTCCTTCTGTCTACACCTCCCACATATTACAGTCATGTGCAGCCAGCCATGCCTGGCCATAAAAGGTAATTTCTTTATTTTATGTATACATTGAGACAGGGTCTCAATAGGTAGCCCTGTCTGGCCTGGAACTCACAGACATTCGCCTGCCTCTGCCTCCCGAGAGCTGGGCTTAAAGGTGTCACCACACCCTGCCTGAGAAAAGCAAATTTGGGGGCAATCTGTTTTCTTAGGAAGAATCAAAAGGTGTGTATAATAGAAATAAGGGCCACTCTGGCCTCCTGGGGAACAAGACAGCTGTGAGAAGGGCCAGGTTAGAAGACCCATCCCGGAAGCTGCTTGCTCTGGGGGCTGTGTTCAGGACAACCTGTAACAGAGCAGAATCTCCCTCTCTCTGGGTTAAGCAGTGCACCTACTGTGACCTGTCAGCCTCTCGGCCCTGGAAATGGCCGCCGTGGACTCTGCCCGGCATCCATCCTCTTACGTCAGCATTCTGCCTTTCCTCCTCGAGAACGGAGCTCTGTTGCTTAAATTTAGGAAGAAGGAAAAGGAAAAAACGAAAACAAAGAAACCAACTAGGCCATAACACAGCCCTTTAGTTCTCTGCCTTTGTTTCTGCGCACTTAGGAAAGGGCTGAGCATCCTTCATTTATGAGTAAAGTCATTTTGTGTGGAAACATAGGATTTTGACTCAGTGGTAAAGAGTTTGACGTGTGTGTGTTTGTGTGTGTGTGTGTGTGTGTGTGTGTATTGTTAAGCCAAATTACCATACAAAAATTTTAGTCAGTACTTGGCTATTTCAATTAAGAATTGACAATTGTCTCATAAAAATATAATGTGGTAGAAAAACACTTAGGATCTCAGGGTGAAAAGAGTCGGTTCAAAGCCCGTCTCCTCTGCTGAAATCTTCTCAAGCCATGGATTCCGTAGCACTTCAGTTCCGCCTATGAGTGGAGCCCTACCCACCCTGCCTCATCAGGATGCTGTAAGGAGCACAGCACCCAGCAGAGGGTTGGCACTTAAGGAAAACTCTGAATCTGCAGTTCTCAACCTGTGGGCCATGACCCCTTTGGGGTGGTCGAATAACCCTTCCAAGACCATTGGAAAACACAGATATTTACATCATGATTCATACCAGTAGCAAAATTATGAGGAAGCAATGAAAGTAATTTTATGGCTGGGGTCAGCGCAGTGTGAGGAGCTGGGTTAAGGGTCACAGCATCAGGGAGGTTGAGGACCGCTGCTCCAAATGCTTTTGAGTCTAAGCAGAAGAGAAAAGGTAAAACACAAGTTTGCGTGGCTTGGCGTCTAAAAGCAAAGCCGTGGCTATGTCCTTAGAAACTGAGGTGGAGGTGGCCAGCCTGCTTCCTGGCCTGGGCTCGTAAAGGAGGAAGCAACACATATGGTCTGGCACCATAGTACAGGAACAACACAAGTTACTCTGGAGTTTGTTTTGGTTGTTGAGGTGATGTTTAATTACTAGGAAACGGTAAAGAATGGTTTTGTCACTCCACCATGGCTACCTGCCTGCCAAGGCTACTGACTCTGGTGGGAGGAGCCAAAGCTCTCTTTCCTGGATGAGACTTTCTTTGGGGTGCTGGAGTTGCTGGGGCAACTTCTTGCTGAAACACGGAATGATTTTGTTAATTTTTTTCACTTCACTGAGAAAGACTTGCTTGGGTTCTATTTAATTAGAAACTGAAAACAAAATAGAACTGGAGCTTCCTAGCCAAGGCAGGGCTCGACTTTCCGGGACCCGGGAACCAGACCTCCAGCGTTGGAGCAGCAGGTGTTGTGAGTCTCCGAATACTGGAGGGAGCTGGGGTCGAAGTGCGCTGTACAGGAGCTGGTCGCTGGCAAGGTGACAGTTTCTCCTTGTTAGACGGAGGGAAATCAGCTGTGTGTGTGAGGGTAAAGTGAGCCACACTTAGCACCGCAGGTTGTCTGGAGTCCTGTCCTTGAAAAGTCATTTGGGGGTTCCAGGGGGATGGAACACAGCGCCTCATGCGTGATCCTCAGTGCTCAGCCCCTGGCCCACAGCCCCAGTTCTGAAAGTTATTTTAAAGATTTTGTTGTAGCCCTTTTATTTTAAAAGTAGAGTTTTTTGTTTTATTTTTTTAACTATCACATAGGTTTTTGTTTTGTTTTGTTTGAGTCAGGGGCTTGATGTATAGTCCAAGCTGACCTTGAACTCAGGATCCTCCTGCCTCAGCTTCCTAAGTCCTGTGATTAAAAGTGTGCCACCATGGCCAGTTTATGAAGTAGTGTTTTTAAGCCATAACGACCTATACAAAAATTAAATACAAATTTGATTTTTCAAAAAGATTAGTATTAAGTTATGCATATGTGGGTGTTGTTTGTGGGTAAGTGCACGAGTTCAAATGTCCATGGAAGCCCAAGAGTCAGATCTCTTGGAGCTGGAGGTACAGGTTGATGTAGATGTTGGGGACCTCACTCATGTCCTCCGGAAGAGCAATACAAGCTCTTTACCCACTGAGCCGTCTCTGCTGCCCCCTATTCATTTGACTTTAAATGTTGTGAGCAGTCTATCAGGCCTGGGCTAATTAGTTCTGTACAACAGGATGGATGCCACAGTCAAAGATCCATGGGCTGTCAGATCTGTGGGCTGGCTGATCCGTGGGCTGTCAGATCCATGAGCTAGCTGATTCGTGGGCTGTCAGATCCGTGGGCTGGCTGATTCGTGGGCTGGCTAATCTATAGGCTGGTGTTCTTGGTGTGGAGTGAATAATTCCTAGGTGTTTACAAACTTCTTTGTGCATAGTGCTGACTGATCATTTGGTCCACTACACTTAGTGTTTCTTGTACCAAGCAGGAATTCAGTGAGTTGTATGAATAAGAAGCCCACACCCAATAAAAAATGAAATCTAACTCTCTGGAAAGAAACTTTAGGCCAGAATTTTTATTGTTTCTCTAGACTGGCCCCAAACTTGGAGTGCCCTTGCTTCCATGTCTGTGGAGCTGGGGCTGTAGGCGTGCACACCGGAGTCAGGTGAATCAGGTTTCTTGACCATAGTCTGCCTAGGCTTTGGACTTGCTTGTCTAATTTTTCCTCATTCTTCAGGTCTCAGTTTACCCTCTAAAGCCTTCCTTATTCTCACCTCATCCCACCGCCTCCCGAATCTGGTCTAAGCTGCTCTTCTGAGTATCTCCCCTACCTTTGTACCCAGCATACTTTCATGTTTTGTTGTGTTCGTATGTGTTTTTTGAGACAAGATCTCATGGAGCCCAGGCTGGCCTTGAACTCATTGAGTAGATTGTTTTTGTCTATCCCATAGGCTGAGAACTCTGAGGGCAAGGTTCTTTCTGCTCATCCTGTAGCATCCAGCACACTGCGTGGTCTCACTAAATACTTGTTTGATAATTTGTTACATAAAAATTGTAGGAGGCTACTGCCCTGGGGTGAGCTCCTGCCTGGGGTCCCAGCAGACCAGGCTAAAAGTTACTCCAACCAAAGGCAACAAATCAAGACTAAGTTATTTGGCCCTTCAGAAATAAAAGGTAATAATAAGAAATAATTCCCCCCAGTAGACCAATTTTAAAAGGCCTAATAATGAGGTTTCCTCTGCTTTAATCTTTACAGAAGCAAATTACTTGAAATAACGTAAGGTATTTTGTCTCCATCTTACATAGAAAGTTGGGGGGTGGGTATGGGTGTCTTGACTGCATGTATGTCTGTGCACTGTGTTAAGTACAGAGTCTGCAGGGCCCAGAGGAGGACATTGGATCCTCCGGAACTGAAGTTAAACAGTCATGAACTGACATGTGGGTGCTGAGAGCTAAATCGGTGTCCTTCACTGGAAAAGCAGCCAGTGCCCTTAACCACTGAGCCATCTCTCCAGCCCCCAGGTTTTTGTTTGTTTTTATGATTCTGGGAACTGAACTGTGGGCCACACACATACCAGGCGAGCACTGTGCTATAGAGATGCACTCCCACCCACTTCAAGGGAATTCGCTTTGAAATAACAAATCCACTTTTCGTTCTTTGTGCTTTTTGCAGCCCTTTTCTGACTATAGAACCGACCACTCTGCAGCTCATTGGAGCACCTATTTCATGCAGCGTTGTGTGATTCAAGAATCACAGAGCCAGTTAAGATCTTGACCGTGTGCCAGCATTATTAGCGGTCTTATCTGAGTGCTGGGCTGGGCACTGTGGCTTCAGGCACCAGGTCAGCTATTCTGCTCAAGTGCTCTCAAGAACTTGAGACCTATTTCACACCTACTGGGAAAGAAGAGCCCTGCATTGTTTGTTTGGGGGAGGGCTGGAATGGCTTTCACAGCCAGTGTTCCCCAGAAGGATGCTTCCTTTAATGCAGCGATGCCACTCCGGAGATGAGAATTGAGAGCCAAGGGTTCGTTCATTGGATCTTGCTCTGTTGACTTGTTCTTTTGATGAGTATTATTCTCTAATAAACACATTTATGTCAAGGGATTCGAGGCAATGGGAGATTCTAGAACAGCAGTTGTGACGGGTGAGATGAGGAACAATGTGAATAATAAAGAGAAGGGAACAGTAGATGGCGTAGGTAAATGACCACTCTACCACTCTAGATACTCCAACAGGTACGTGCCCGCTCCGCCTTTGTTCTTTTTCCTGGGGATAGATGCTCTGGGCTTGACCTGCTTGTGGTTTCTTCATTCTCCATCTTGCTTGATATCGTTTTCACTGGCTCTCTTCCTGGTAGCAGCTTTTGTTTACCTCTTCCTGGGTTTGTTGATTGAT